CTAGTATTACAAGAAAAGTCTAATAGTCTTAATATTACGAGAATAAAGTGATACGAGACTTTTATTTATTTATTTTTTGCAGCTCTTGTGTTTTTTTTACTTTTATTTTTTCCTCGAGTCGGATTCACAATGCGACCTGTCAATCAATCCAGTGGGCGTGTCAGCAAATGACCAATCCGAAGCTAAATGAATCGTAATATTATCCAAACTCTGACACGATAAAGCAGGGTCTACCGCATTTTAACTGCGGTAAAATGAAGAATGTTGAGCATCTTGTTAAGTTATACTTTGGTAATGGTTTTACAAATAAGGAGATGGTTAATCTGTTAGCACATCAGCATCAGATTACTATCAGTATCAGGACTTTGAACCTGCTTACAGTAAGGTGGTACACTCTGATTGGCTGCAGCGCAGCTCTCTGCAGGTAAGGCGCATTTAGCTTCAGATTGTTCATTTGCTGACACGCCTACTGGATTGATTGACAGGTCGCATCGTGGATCCGACTCATGGAAAAAAAAAAGAGAGAGCTGTAACAAAAAACGAGTCCTCTACGACTTTATTCTCATAATTCTACGACTTTATTCTCGTAATTCTACGACTTTATTCTCGTAACTTTATGGCTTTTAATTTTTTTTCTTAGCATGGCCCTAAAGCTCCGTCATAGTTGAGGCCTACGAGTGTTGAAACAAAAAGTATCTCTGCAGTATACGGGACTGAACATGTAAACTACAATTTGAGGCATACAAGACATTTTAAAATCTTTTCTTTTCCATACAAAGATCCTTTATTTTTACTCTATACTTTGACCTTTTCCTGAATTTGAACTCCACCATTTAAATTGCCTGTGACCTCATTTCATAGAATCAACTTCTGAGGAACCACAGAAGAATTACCGTTGTTGGTGTTTTTGCCAGTTTAAAGATTTGTTTCCCTGTTCCTGCACTCCTTTCGTATGACATGCTTTGTTCTTGTGTTTGACTGCAAAGTGTAAAGCCTGAGGTTTTGTTTTCAGTTGACCCTGAACGTTAAAAGCTCCTCTTTCAGTCACAGCCCATCTCTCCTTCCAGCATATGCTTGGCCTCAGTGCGATAAATTATGTACCTTCACAAATTGCCAATCTGGCTGTCCATCTGCCGGCCAATTAAAATTTTAGGATACAGATGTTGTAGTTGTTCTGTGTTGGCACATCTTTTTAAAGTCGCTCTTTGATATGCGTGGGATGTTTGAAAGAGAAGAGTCCATCAGTTTTATACGACAGGACCAGAGAGCATTGATTAAGTACAATATCGGTCACGGCTCCTTTGCAGTCTGCCAAAGTTGAAGCAGCCTCACAGTTTGTCTGATTTATGGCAACTTAATGGTTTGATTTGATGGACTTCACTTTGACAGATTGGTCTGAACATAAACCATGAATCACTGAAAATAGCTCTTTGACCCTTGTAGTCGTCTTCGTCAAATAAAACTTGAAATTAAAGAAATTGAGTCAATCTGGACATATGGATTGCACATTTAATGTGTAAAAGTTCATTTTACTTAATTTTTTAAAACTTTTATATAGTTAATTTTCTATCATGTATGCCATGTTTATGTTTCTAATCTCTTTGGTTGACTTTAATAGCAGTGGTGATGGTGAAGCTGATGACACGGCATCTAGACTGTCCGCTCTTCAGAGGCACCACTGTTATTTAATGGAGATGTAAACTGGCAGCAATTTTTGTATTATTTCTCTGTGGGCATCTTGGCAGACATGATATGATGAGGGACTGTTATGAAATTTATTGCTGTTGTTAAAAAGGGACTTCCAAGGATCTTTAAATAGAGACTGGTTACATAAAGAGCTTATTTCTCTCTTACTGCAGCCATGTCTCTGTCTTTTTTCACTCTCCACCTAACTTTTAAACATCGATTCCTAGTCATTTTTACATTTTACTTTTACAGATTTAAGGTGAAAGTGACTTATTTCTGCATTGGTTTCCCAAAAAAAAGTTCAACAATAGACTGGACGGAAGAGAAAAAGTGCAGAGAACCAGATAAACTGATTTTCTCTTTGGTTTCAGTCTGATGACCTTTTAGGGGGGAAATATCTACACTGAGTGAAATGCTAGCAAGTAAGGAGACTGAGTTGTAGATTAAAAAAGATGGGCTTGTTTTTTGGGCAACTTTTTTTGCCTTTTGGAAGTTTTTTGTTGAGTGTTTATGTATATTTGTTGGGGCTGCACAATATTATCGGCATGGCATCGGTATCGGCCAATATTCGCGATAAAGTTAAATATCGGACATTGGCCATTTCATCAAAATAACTCACCAATATAAAAAGCACTGTTTTTTTTAATATATATTTTACATTTATAAAGTGGGCAGCACGGTGGCGCAACTGGTAGAGCTGCTGCCTCTCAGCGAACAGGTCCCTGGTTCAAACCCCGGTCCAGGGGCCTTCTGGGTGGAGTTTGCATGTTCTCTCCGTGTATGCGTGGGTTTTCTCCGGGTACTCCGGTTTCCTCCCACAGACCAAAAACATGCATGTTAGGCTGATTGGTAACTCTAAATTGTCCCTAGGTGTGAGTGAGAGTGCATGGTTGTTTGTCTCTATGTGGCCCTGTGATGGACTTGCGACCTGTCCAGGGTGTACCCCGCCCCTCGCACAGTGATTGCTGGACATGGGCACCAGCAACCCCCGTGACCCAAAATGGAATAAACGGGTAAAGATAATGGATGGATGGATGGATGGATTTATAAAGTGTTACATCATTTTCAGCCCCCTATTTGGCATCTGCATTTGGTAGCAGACCAAATTGACAAAGACCATGCAGAATAATGTAGTATTTTAATTCCACAGCAGAGAAAGCTACTGTATGTAGTCTCTGTAAGTATGTCTAGGGGAAAGAAAATATTGGTACTGGTATTGGTTATCGGCAAAATAAGTTTTAACATATTGGCATATCGGATATCGGCCAAACATCCAATATCATGCATCCCTTATATTTGTTAAAGTTTTTAAAGTTTACTCATATTGACTGAAGTTTATTTAAATAGAGACATGCACATAAATCTGTTGTATACAGATTTGTACATAGGCCTCATAGACGAAAGCTAATTTATAGACTGTAAGTACACTAAACGGCCTTTACAAATTTACTGGTCAGGCTTTTAAGAAAATGTACTTCCATGACTATTAATCTCCATCTCCAACAACTACCACTTACTTGTAGTTGGGTCATGGAGGCAACAGGTCCAGGTGAGAAAGCCAGACATCCCATCTCCTCCTGGGGTACCACAAATTGTTCTCAGGCCAGGGAGGATACTCCAGCGAGTTCTGGGTCTACCCTGGAGTCTCTTCCCAGTGGGACTTGCCTTGAATATCTCCAAAGGGAGGCATCTAGAAGTCATTCTGACCAGATGCCCGAACCACCTTAACTGACTCCTTTCAATGTGAAAGAGCAACGGCTCCACTCAAAGCTCCCTCTGATGATGGAGCTCCTCACCCTATCTCTAAGGCTGAGCCCGACCGCCTAATAAAGGAAGCTCATTTCATCTGCTTGTTTCTGCAATCTCGTTCATGATCATCATGATCCAGACCTCACGACCATAGGTGAGGGTTGGTCAAGAGTTTTGCCTTTGACTCAATTCTTTCTTCACCACGACTGACTAAAGCAACACCCTCATTATTGAGGATGAGACCCCAATCTGTTGATCCATCTTCCACTCCATCCTACCATCACTCGTGAACAAGATGCCCAGATACTTAAACTCCTCCACCTAAGGCAAAGACTCCCTCTGACCCGGAAGAGGCATTCCACCCATTTCTGGTCAATGACTATTAATAGAAAAGGATAAACTTTGAAAATTTAAATGAAAATTGGGAACAACAGTATCTGATCTTTTTGCTTGGTGCCCGCTTTAGGGCAGGATACAATAAAGGTTTCTTACACCCCTCTCTTTGCCATTTAAACTGATTTAAGACCATTTTGAAAACTTTGGTTCTGTAGTTTCTGAAGACCTGTCTGTAGCTCTAATCTTTTGTACAGCGTTTAAAGACTCTAGGTAAAGTTGGTCTTAATGTCTCTTCTTTTGAAAACGGCAACACCCGATCCCAAGAGTCATTTCCCAAATTGGTTGTGTATTTTTCTTTTTTCTTTTCATTTTTTCCAGAGGGCACCCATGATGTTACCTACTGAAGAAAATCAAAGCTGACATGCCTTAAATGGCTATCCTGTTCATGGCACTGATATTAGCATATAAAATTCTGAGCATAAAGTTCTTTTGGTTTTTCATCATAAAATCTGATGTCATTCAGGCTTTTTATCTTCGTCTTTCTTCTCGTGTATTGGAAAAGCTGTAAACCTCCAGTAAATCACTCGTGGGAATGCACTAAGTGCCCCCCCACTTCCTCTCTTGCTCATATGTTCTCTGCATTGTGTATTCCCACTTGCCGTCTCATTTGATCATAAATGCTTTTTAAACCACTTGACTGGAAAATTGACTTGGCATGTCAATTTGGCTGAACTGCCCCAGTCAACGCTTGGCGTACATTTGTATCTATGGATGCATTTATCATCAATTGTGCTTTATTTTTTCTTCTCTTTTTTTAATTCACATGTGTATGTTTATTTCAGCTGAGAGGAAACCTATATATTTTCCTCCTGCTAGTCAATTGAGTGTTTCAAATAAGATCAAGGTCACTAAATGCTGAAAGTGCCAGAGGAAGATCAATGGTGTTTATCTGGATTTAATGCTGTGAATAAAACAATAAGTTACAGAGTACAGAGTCAGAATACACAGCTACTGTATAATGAATGCCACTTCACCTGCACTGATTTTAATAAAAAAGTTAACAACAAAAATTATTTAAAAATTATATTTTAAGAAAAATAAATCACTCTAAGCTTGATTTGATGTTAAATAACGTCATTGCTTTTTCTTTTCTTTTCTAGATTTATGATGTCTCTCTTGGTGCCATAAGAAAAGAGCTTCCCATTGGAAATGTCAACTCTACTTTACTCAGATGAAAGCTTGTGCCATCACTGCAATTACCTGTCAGTGGTAGAAACTGGACAGAGTGGACTGTCTTGAAAAATGGAATACCCCAAAGCTTCAGCCACAAGCTATCACAAATGACCACATACCTTCTCTCCTGGATTTTCTCACAGCGACCTTATGCTTGAGTTTGTGAATCTAGTATTGCATTAAAAGTATTTAGTTGTTTTGTCATGAAGATAATCTGGAGACACACCACAAACAAGCTAGCCTTGCAGATTTTAGGAGCAGCAGGCATAGCTGATGGTGTAGTCGTCCTCTTGTTGGCAGTGACTCCACGACCTCTGCTGACATCGTCAGATATCTGAGTATCAGTAAAACACATGTCCTCATCAGAGATTCAACACAGCAGCAGCCACAAAATTGTCTAAAATGAGCACACACCCATAGCTTCGCCACGCCAGCGTTGCTGTGGCTGGCCGTCACAGGACGGCCATCATCTCCTGCCATGACCCGGCTGATGTTGGGCCGGACTCTGGAGCGTATCTGCAAAGGCGTCCTGTTGCTTTGCCTGCTCCATTTCCTCATCATGATGATTCTGTACTTTGACGTGTACTCTCAGCGTTTCGACCTCTTCAGCCGCTTCAACAACGGCCGAAATGGATCCAGGAACAACGTTAGTGGAACCGGGAGTGGACATCATTATTACTACTACAACCTCTCAAGGCCCAACGCAACGTTCGCCAGCTACCTGGCTACAGGCGAGCAGCTGGCGCAGAGCATGCAACCCGAGAACAATCAGACTCCTTCTCCCAAACCTCTGCCACCATGTCCTGAGAACCCACCAGGTCTTGGTGAGTAAAAATGCCCTTTGTTTTTCTTCTTTTCTCTAACAGACTATTTAAAATTAGTCATTATTGCTGTGGGATGTATTAAGGTTCTCCTAATTAGGCACCTGCTGTTGTTTTTGCGTTGTTATGATGCTATCTGTCTTCTGAACGCTTAAAGTATTGGTGTTCTCACAGTGTTGTCTGGTTTGCCTCTGCCATGGGGTTATAAAGCTTAAATAAAAACCTGCTTTCTGTAGATTCCAGGAAAAGTCCAGTTAAAACACAGATGTAGTTCTGATTCTCTGGTTTATCGGATCATTAAGGGTAATCCTGTCTGTCACTTTGTAGGACAAACAGCTTCCATCAAAGCATTGACAAATGTGTTGGTGGTTTTTAGAAACTTTATCACAATTTTTGCGAACTGTTGCTGACAATGCTTGGTTTGTTTATGCAGTTGGCTTGCTGCTTTCGCTTCAACATGATTTAGACCCAGAAATGTGAAAGAAGGTGGAGTTGTACATCATCAATTATGGTAATGGATGTGGTAGACAAGACTTTGATCGAAGCAGGTCGAGTTCAAAACTGAAGGTTATTAGTTTATGTTCTGTAAATAAATGCACCTCCATGGTTACTCCTAATTAGTGGGAAAGAGCAAGTGGTCATAACTTTTTTTTCTGGGCTAGCCTGCAACATAAAATGGATTTAATGTCAACAGTTTACACTGTTGTATTTCAGCCTGATAGACTTACTAAAGAGCTATTAACAGAGATTCATGCAGTTGGACATTTCTACACTTCTACGGAAACTCAAACAGATACACACTAAAACTGTAAGAGTATTTTTTAGGGTTTTAATTTCTCTGCAAATAAATTAAATTGAGTAAATTAAGAAGCTTTAGGACCCAGCTTTGTGTAAGTGATAGATATTTCAGTGTGCGCCATACTGATATACTTCAATCTTAAAGCAAACTGTTTGCGGTCTACAGGTATTTCTAGACCTGTTATCTTTGCAACATTTTGTATAATATTAACATTGCCTGGACAAGTCCTCACAAACGCTTGTTTGTACATCTGTCTGATAACAAAATGTTTTATTACCAGTCAACTGATTAAAAAAAAACAACTTATTAGATGTGATAAGCTTTAGCAAACCCCAAAATACATTTAATTCAAGCATTTTTACAGATATATTGAGCCTTTTTTACACATACTGAGCTAAAATTTGATGTGGTAAGATCTAAGTGTCATCCCTGACACATATTGATGATCAGTTATATTTACTTGCAAATTTGGCATGCAAGGAGGCGGGCAGTATGCATTCATTTGAGGAATGCTATTTTAATTTAAGCACAAATTTAGTAAAATACAAAAAGCTGTCTCTTGTTATCAAAGAAATTTTGTCTATCGATATAGTTAGCTGTGATTTAAATTAACTACAAATCTTATATTTTTGTGTTCTGAAATTTTTATTCATGTACAGTAACTGTCAAAACATGCAGACTGTGTTAGAATTACCATCATTAGTGAAAAGTTTCTCAGTTGTCTTACAGTAGAGCAAGCACATGCACAAACATTTACAAAAAGAGGTCACGCATACGAGATATAACTCCTCTGCACAGTGGTGTAAAAATCTACACACGCACATAAACGCATGCACACACACACACACACACACACACAGCATTTTTTGCTATCTTTACAGGGACTTTACATTGACTTCCATTCATTTCTATAGCCTAACCCTGACCCTTACCCTGAGCCTAACAATTACCAGCACATACCTAACTCTAAACCTAACCCATCCTCATTTCGCACCTTAGTCCTAAACCTAACCCTTTACCCACTCTTATGGGGCACGGGCTTTGGGCCTCATAAGGAGCAGTTGGTCCTCGCAGTGTAGCATGTGTTGGAAAAATGGACCTTACAGGGTAACAAATACAAAGACACAAAAAAGCACAGACCCACAGATGCACGCACGCATGCACGCACACACACACACAAACCCTTGTTGCCATGAGTAATAGACTTAAGGAAGCAGGAACTAACTCTGGTTGACATTTTTTTTACATTAGCTAAAGTAGGTCTGCTGAGTTTTGTTTTTCTCAGCTCGTATCCGCTTCAGCTGTGTCATAAAAACCTGCTTTTTTCTGCGTTGGTTTACTTAAAATTCATATTTTTCTTCAAAACTTGTGTTGCTTATTGTAGAATTGTTTTATCTTCTGTGTTTTTTTAATGCTTTCTAATTTATAGAAGAAAGCATAAAAAAACATGTACATCAGTGGTTAAGACTCTTGTGCATGTTAGTTAAGTCTGATAAAAACAAATGTTTGTGCTGTTGAAGACAGCATCTAATTAAGAAGATAAAAATGCTTCAGACATTTTTTTTTTTGCAGTAATTGGACTTATTTAAATGAGAAAACACCATATCAGACACATGTTATAATGGGCAACAGGCAATTCTTTAATTAAACTATTTCTGAGGATCAGAGAAACAACAAGCCTACAGTACATGCATACATTTATTTATTCTCTGTCATATTTAGGAGAAGGTTTCCTGCTGTTCATTCAGGGTCTCGTTTCATTTCTGTTATGTCGGTTGACTCTTATATCAAGCAGACTTCTTCTGCTGTGGCTGCTTGAATTTTAAACATATCATTGGGGATGAAGGATTGCCACCTTGAACTAAACCTTTTTAAAAGCTCTCATCACAGCTTGGTTTGACTCAGTATAGCTTTATTCACTCCTGGTGTGGGCCACGGTCATATCCCACTATAAATTGTCTGTCAGCTCCCCTAACATGCAGATGAAACCCCTACAGATGGCCAACGCAGCCGTACATTTGGTGTTTGATTATCCAAACAGAGCATATGCACCTCATTGGGTTGTCAAACAACAGACAATGGACGCACTCTAAACATCAGTTGCTAATAACTTTCTAGCAACAATAACTAACAATATTAATATAAACAACACTATCCTAATAATCTTTATCAGGGCTGTAGACAATAAGACCTTGAATCATGTTTAGCATGTTTTCATAATTTATGTTTTACAGTGGCTCAGTTGGTTGAGTTGTCACCTCTCAGAAAGAAGGTTAAAAAATCAAATCCAAGCCGGGAGCCTTTCTGGGTGGAGTTTGCATGTTCTCTCTGTGCATTCATGAGTTTTCACCGAGTACTCCAGTTTCCTCCCACAGACCAAAAACATGCATGTTAGGCTGATTGGTAACTCTAAATTGTTCCTAGTTGAGTGAGAGAGTGAATGGTTGGTTGTCTCGTTTGTCTCTATGTCCCTGTGATGGACTGGAGACCTGTGCAGGGTGTCCCTCGCCTCTCGCACAGTGACTGCTGTATATCGGCACCAGTGACACCCGCGACCCGAAAAGGAAGAAGCGGGTAAAGATAATTGATGAATGGATGGAACAAGTCAGAAGTGGTCTTGGCCTGGAGCATATAGGGACAACTACTGATAATCCCACCATAGGTTGGCTTCTCCTTTTTTTTTTTTCTTTCGGCTGCTCCCTTCTTCAGGGGTCGCCACAGAAAATTAACTCGCACCAAGACTTGGCAATTGTTTTTACATTGGATACCCTTCCTGACACATCCACGACCACCAAGCTACCACAGCCCTCTGTGTGGAGCAGAGAGCTGACATCTAGGGTGCCCGGGGGAACATATGATGGGGGTTAATGGCCTTGTTCAAGGGTCCAGACTCTGAGCCCTTGAGCAAGAGCATCCAGAGTGGGACAAATGGAGGCATAAATAGGTGCTTCACCTTTCCCACCCACATTTTGACGTTGTCGGTACAGGGAGTTGAACCAGCGACCTTCCGATCACTGGTCCACCTTGGCTAACCTCTGTGCCACCACTCCCCACCACATAGGTTGGCTTCTCCTATCAGATGTTTATCAAAAGCTCTGATTTCCTTATTTTGGCATTTGCTGAAATATTTCTCTTGACAAATAAGTTTGGGCTGTTTGGGAGATTTTTCAATGAATGGACTTCACTGCAGTGGATTTGTAAAAAAAACGACAACAGTAAAGTACCACACAAAATAAATCCAGCCTAACGTACCGGTATATATTGGTGTATATTTTTCACTTTTAATGATTATTAAAAAAAAAAATCATAATTCTGAATAAATACCGACATTTCACTCCTGCTATGAGCTTACAAGCTTGGGCGACTTTCCAGTTAGTTCTGTTTGTGCATCAGCAACAGGTCAAAGTGATAATAAGAAATTGATTCGTGGATGATGGAGAGGTTCCTTATCTTTTGACTATCACTTTGTCCTTCACTATCGATTTCTCTTCAGGCTGCTTTTCTTTGCAGTAACGCTGCCAGTGGTTGTAAATGACCACTGGAAGAAAGGCTCATGGTTTTATTCAGGCATGTCTCTGCATCATGAACCATTATTGTCATTCCCAATTGATCTTGTAAGTCTTGACTAAAGTGACTTGATTCTTCAGTTAGTTGTATTTGTCTAATCTGTTTGTTTTCACCTTACGAGGCTCACTTTCTATAAATTGGTTGAAAGATTCAAAGTTAAATTTCACGTTTGGCTCTGTTGCTTTTATGTCTGAGATTTCATCAGATGTTCATTCTGCAGTGCTGAAAAAAGTTAGCATTGTTTTATTACTTTTGTAAAATTGTTGATTGCTTCATATCAAGCAATCCCCTTCAAGTAATATATCTTGTAAGATGGATCATACATTATTATGCTGAGTTGACTTGACTTGTATTGAATGGTTTGTTCAAATTTGTCAATAAACTGATTTTGAGTGCCTCATAAATGTAATAAACACCACTCGTTCATTTTGGGAGTTTTATATGTTTTCCTTTCTCAGCATTCAAATGTGCTGCAGTTCCATCAGTGCATTATACACATAAATTATTTTGTTTTAATAGTTTTTTTTAACGCTTAAATTCAGGTTCAAATTGACTTAACGAGCTGTCAGGCAAATGTTGAGCTGCAAGACCTTCACAATATTTTTTCCCAGTAAACCAGGGGTTCCCAAACCCTGTA